GGCAGGCATCCTCCAGAGCAGCTGAAGCACAAGTGGCCCATGTGATTGCCAATTTGGAGACATACCATATGTATTAGGCCACTGTCGACAGATGTATTGAAGGGAAGTTTAAAATATTAGCCACAACTCAAAAGTCAGAAAGGCAAACGTCCAAACTGCAGTTATTGATTGTGACAGAGCTGATTCTCACATATGCACTTTTATGTAACTGGCTCGAGGGTGAATAGCAGCAGAGATGTGTTCATTTAACAACAGCTAATGTGTCTCCTCAACAACACCAAGGAGGCCAGCTAGCATATAATTTATTATAAAATCTCTATGATAGACAGACAGACCAGTATGATTTAATAGACTCGGAGGGAAGCAAAATAGTGAACTGGTTAAGTGTACACTCTGGAATCTCAGAAGTGGGTTCAAATTTTGACTCTGTCACTTAATAGCAGTGTGACCTTTGAAAATTACTTAACCTCTTTTAGCTTATTTCCTTATCTGTAAACTGGAGAAGATAATAATAGTACTACCTTACAGGGTTGTTATGAAAATTGAACATAATCATGAATACATTAGCTATTACTGTTATCCCAATCTAACAGAGTAATTAATTAAGACAATCTCGTGAAATCCATGCTAGGGCCAAGTAATCATCTTTTTTCTTTCTTTCATGCTCATCAACTTTTCTTTTAAAAATGAATTATGGAATCTTTCCTGAAAGTTCCTTAAGTTTGCTAATCTACACATTGGGTCAAGAAGTTCTGAAGTTGGATTTTGAAAGTACTGTCTTAAGGGGCTCAAATCTGTGCTCAGGTACCTCAATACAAGTGGAGCTATATGCCTCAATACATATCTATTTGATGAATAATGTGGCCCATGTATGTCAAGACAAACAACTTCTTATTTGAGGGTGGCTTACCCAAACTTTTGAGTTTGTTGGCTTAGAGTAGCTTTTGCCAAGTGTTTTCACCCACCATCCAAGTGTCTAAAGCCTAGGTAAGCATGTACACCATCTGAGGAAGCTGCTCTTTGGGGTAGCTTCAGTTTGATGTCTACCAAATCATGCTTCTCTTTTCTATTTTTAGAAAATTGCTTTTCCCCTAAGTCTCCTAACAGGCTTCTGGGAAGATGGTAGCATTAAAACAGGTCCTCAATTCTTGCCTTTCCTATCACAAATCAACAGAAATGACCACAGGGAAACAAAAATTGAGCGAAACCTGTACGATAAGGGCAGCAGAACTCGCAAGGAATTTATGTGACATGATGCTGATGGGGCCATATTGAAGGATATCACCAAGCTGAAGTTCTGTGATATACTGACAAATCAAGAAAATCCTGGCAGAAACCCACTACTACCACCTAGCTTAAAAGACCAAGGATTGGAGGTGGGGGAAGGTAATAAAAAAGGCTGGGATGAGAACCTCTCATAAATTGAGGGGAGCCTGAGTAACTTTGATTTTATTTAAGACTCCCAGTATATTTTTTAAATAAAATAATGCCAAATTAGGAATATCAAAATTGCCACATAGTTTAAAAATTTTACATTTACTAAATTAAGCTGTGTGATGAACATTTTCCATCAGGTCAGTCTGGCTCTGTGGCTGGAGTAATCAACTCATTTGAGGATAATGTCAAAATTCTGAATTTGAGTCCCTTTGTGAGTGTGAGACACAGGCCAAATGGCTCTCCTGATACCCTAACCCGAATCCCTGGGCTAGGCCCTGACAGGAATTACTCTATTTGTTGCTATTTTGACACTGCAGATCAACAGAATTTGGAGCAGCCCTCTCAGAGGGCAAGCTCAGTCTCTGATTCTGGTTTCTCAATAAACATGGTGGTCTCAACCTGATACAAGAGTCCTCTTTGATGAACCAACAGGAGTTGTTTCAATGTTGTATATCCACTCCTTACCCGCATCCCACACCCACACACACAAGTGGTGAGAGTATATATGATACCACTACCTGAGGTAGAGGCCAAAAGAGCAAATGAGAAAAGCCTTCTTGAAGTGAACTTCTCCTACTAGGGTAGCCTCTAGCCCTAGTTCCCTCCCCACCACCTCATCCTGCTAGATCACAGGGCCAGTAATAAAAATTTACATAATCTAGTGTTCAGTATAAGCTTTGAGAGAGGGTGACAACCAGGTCAACAGTGAAAGCATATAAAAACTGCCCCACTCTTGTTGGAGGGAGAGAGAGAGCAGGTCAGGATATACTGTTCTTGATTCAATGATGAGTAAATAGATAAACTGTGAATTAATAATAGATGAAGAGAACCCAAAACAAAAACAGAGTCTGTAAAAAGAGCTTGCAAGATAACAGGAGGAAATTACATCATGTAAGAGATGGAAGAACAGTTAAAAGTAATAAAAAAAAGAGTAAATACAGTTATAAACAAAAATTAATGAACTAGAAAGCAAAAAATAATAGAATTAATCAATTAAAGACCTGGATATTTTCAGGAGAAAACAAAACAGATAAAAATTTGGCAATTGTAATTAAGGAATTCTCTGTTCCTTGAATGTTTGAAAGAAACTTACCTGCTAAACTGTCTGAGTCAGGCCTAAGACAACATCAGGTTTTTCCTATGGCTATTGATATATTGTTATTTTCTATGCCACGGGCTTTAGTATTTATCTCCCTATAAAATCATCCATATCATTAAAATTCTAAAATTTATTATGGCAGACTTTGTAATTATCTCAAATACCCACCATCATATAGCAGTGAAATAATAAATCACCATTTCCTAACTTGGTGTTCTGAGGAACACTGATAGGCCAAATGTTATCAGGTCTGTTTAAAAGAAAACAAAGTGGTTTTTTATTCAATTTGAGAAGTGCCGTTAGACAAAGTTAGTTTTTACTCTTTAACCTAAAAAATATATTCCTCTAAAAAATAATACTAGTCAGTATTTACTGCACAATGACTCTCGAAGAGGGGCTATGGTACACAACATTCTGCAAACTTATTTGACCAGCTCCCAGAGGAAGGTTTTTTCAAAAATGCAATTTAGAATTGCTGCAGCAAACATAGTCTGGTTAAAATAAGAAACAAGACAAGAATACCACTGCCACTTTTATTATTTAGCACTGTTCTGGAAGCGTTTAACCCATGCAGTCAGAAACTATGTTATAAATTTTGAAAAGAAGGAGAACATAACTTATCATTGATATTATTGCTTACCAGGAAAAACTCAAAGGATCAACTGAATATCTCAGAAATTAATGATTTCAGTAAATTGCCAATTTAAAATTAATCTATGAAAGCACATTCTTCCCCTATATAGCAAAAGTGACCACATAGGTAACACAGTGAATTAAGAGCTCCCAATCGCAGTATTGTTTCCTGTATGTCTGTATTCCCTAGGAATACATTTATCACAAATTATACAGGACTTAAATAAACAAAACTCTCTTGAAGGATGTAGAAAGCTTTTCAAAAATGAGGCAACATATCATGTTTCTGGAAAGCATTGCATTCGTAGTTTTCACCATCATATTAATTAAAGACAATCCCAACCAAATTCCCAATTTATTTTGCAGGGGAAACCTATTAACTGTAAAGTTCATCTGGTAAAATAAACATGTCAGAATTATCAGAAAATTGTGAAAAACAAAAATAAAAATGATCAGTAGGAGGATCTGCCCTAACAGATATGAAATCATATTTCTAACTCAATAACTATAGGCTGGTGTACTGGGGCTACAATGTTCAGTGGTACTCAAGAGAATTCAAACACAGAAGAAAGTGTATATGTGTATGACATTTCAAATGGGGGTGGTGGACAATTAGACAAAAACCGGCTAACAACCGGTTAACCCTTTGGGAAAAAAAAATGTTAGAATACCTAAATCCATACATCAAAATAATTCCAGATAGGACAAAAAAACCTTTTTTTTAACAAAACCATTAAAATAAGAGAGATATAGGATAAAATTTATATAAAACTTGGGGTGGGGCAATCCTTCTAAACATGATCCTACGGCCAGAAGGAAAAAAGGAAAAGATTTATCCATTTTTAATTTTTTTATTTTTTGTCATTTTAATGCATTTTTCCCTGTGCACAAGAGAAATAACTGATAGAGTCAAAACATACAGTTTCCTTTCTACGCAGCAGTTAAAAGTAATGCAAACATCACATAACACTTTCAGTGAAAGTTACATTTCCAATTACAAATCAAAATGTGTATTAGGGTCTTTTTATGGGAGAAGCTCAGCAGAAGTCTTAGGTAAAAAGCACTTTCCTGGCATTACTACACTGATCCTTCGGGCTGCACAAAGATTAAGGTCATATACATTCAATCTGCAAATGTTGACGCAATGTCACACTTTAAGTTTTCTGTACAACTAAATGTATATTTAGAAATAATCAGGATAAACATTTCTACTATATTTTAACTGAACTTGCCTAGCCAACATTTTCACTGAGAAGTTTATCAAAGATGCTGTAAGATTCTACAAAATTGTGAGACATACCTAGCTCCAGAAATATTTCTTATATTTTTTCTGAATTTGGTTACACATATTCTGCTCAGAGATTCTGTTGTAATATTTCTAGATGTACAGTTCCAATTGTGCTTACTGTACTGTGTACAAATAGCAAAAAAGATCAAAGAATGGTATAAATCTTACAGCATTTTGCTAGCAAAAATACATGCCAAAGTCACGATAAGCAATATTGTACCACAAATTAGAGAGCTTCAAATAATTTGCTTTTGCTTTTAATTATTTTCATTCTACATTAAATTACTATCATAGGCTAATGTTTAAAATGCAAAGAAACTGGACATCTGTAGGACAAAACTTGTTCACCCAACTGTGAAGGTTGATACCTGTTTCCAAAAATCACAATAAATGCAGAATAAAGAGAAGTGTTTGCATGCAACACCTTTGAGTGAAACAGCATTGATTCCCACCATCAAAACAGAGAAGGAATGAAAAAGGAAGGAGGGAAGGAAGGAAGGAAACAAAGAGGGAGGGAAAGAGGGAAGGAGGGAGGGAAGGAAGGAAGGAAACAAAGAAGGAAGGAGGGAGGGAAAGAAACAAAGAGGGAGGGAGAGAGAGAGGGAGGGATGGATTCCATCTTAAAATGCATATTAGATTCATAACTAGACAGATGTAAAAGAATCAAAATGAAAGTAAAGCACAATTTTTTTGTGTGTTTAAAGATTTAAGAGCCATTATCAAAAATAAGATACATTTTTTCAAGGTACAGAAATGTGATTAAGATGGCTGGGAGCCCAGCAGCCTCTCAATGGCTGCATTGATGTCGCCTCCTGTTGCTATTAGAGCCTGCAAGTTTGCTTCACGGTTTAAGAACCCCATTGCGTTGAGCTGTTCCAGTTGTTGCTGAAATCTGACTTCTGGATTCGGCAGCTGTGGAGGATTTACTCCAGCCAGAGCCTGCACCATTTGCTGAATGAACTGCTGGTTGGGTCCAGATTCTGATGTTGGGCTTGTGGTCTCACGGGGTGCAGAACTAGATATGGTGGGCCCAGGGGGGCCGCTGGAGCCAGTGGAGCCAGGGGGACCTGCAGGGCCAGTGGGTCCTATGGGCCCAATAGGGCCTATGGGGGTAAACGGGACTATGGGGCCTATGGGGCCTATGGGTGTGACTGGGCCTACAGGGCCTATAGCAGTTCCCAGAACCCCCACCCCCACACCTGGAGTGAAGCTTGGAATGAGGCCAGGCGCTTCAGTGGCTAATGTTTGTAGCCCCTGCTGGATCTGCATTAAAGCCTGCATTGCTCTTGGGTTTGACATAGCTGAGAGTGTGTCTGGATTCTGCATCTGCTGCAGGAAAGCCGGGAGCTGTGGACGCATCTGCTCCTGCAGCTGAGGATTTGCAGTGAACACTGGGCTACTCAGCATCATCTGTGCAGCCAAATCTGGATTCTGGCTCAGCGACTGCATCATGCTTCTCATGTAGGGCGCGGACAGCATATTCTGGATCAGCTGGGGGTTTTCAGTTATCTGTTGCAGCAAGCTCTGCATTCCCGGGGTACTGAAGATGCTGGCGACATAATTGGCTGCAGCCATGGTGTTCCCGGTAGCACCGGTGGAGCTACTGCCAGACCCACTGCCACTGCCACTGCCACTGCTCATCGTTGTGCTGGTGGTTGCAGAACTCTGGGTAGCCGGTGGTGGCGCCCATGGATTGGGTAGTGGATCTCGATTTTCTGTGCGAGAAGGCTGCGTGCCTTCTCCGGAGGAAGAACTGCTCCCCACCGAGGCAAACGGATTACCCCCAAACTGCTCTTGTGCGGCATTCAGCATGGGTTCTTGAATGTCAGTGTACATGCGCCGTAAGGCATTGTAGCCACCTGGGATGCTTTCGAGATTGCTGAGAGCCAGGTCCTGATTTCTCATCATCTCTTGCATCATGGCTGGATTCCTGGCGATTTCCAGGGTCTGCCTCATTATATCTGGGTTGTTGAGCAGGTGACTGATTTCTGGGTTTCTCTGAATCAATTGTTGCATCTGTGGATTGGCCATAATGAGCTGCCTCATTAGATCGGGATTCGAAAGCATGCTCTGAACAAAGGGATTTTCCATGATTTGTATCATCATCTCAGGGCTGGACAGAAGCTGCTGCTGCATCTGGTTCTGGAGCTCAGAGAAGTTGGTGGAGCTCAAGCCCAGGCTGCTAAGGCCTGCAAGTCCTCCCAAGCTCCCCAAACCAAACGGGTTACTATTTGTGGAAATAGGTGTAGAGTTATTCCTGGGAGTCGACGCGGAGGTAGTATTAGTTCCCGCGGCATTACTAGGCTGTGTGGACTGGGCCTGAGGTCGGTTCTGGCTTTTGATGACAAGGTGAACAGTCAGTCCATCATGGATGCCGTGCTGGATCAAGGTATCTTGATCTTTTAAGATTTTTCCGGCAAAAATCAGCACTAGCTGATCGGTTTGGGATTTGAAGCGTTTCGAAATCGCTTCCTTAAACTGTTGAACTGAGCTATTCTCGGGCACCGCGAACTCCTCTTTCTCTTTGGGGGTCTTCACAGTGACTTTGATGATTTTGGGCTCGGCCGGAGCAGAAGCAGGGCCTTGGGCTGCAGCAGGGCCACGGGAGGGGCGCGGGGGGCCGCTGCTCTCGCCGTTCTCAGCCATGGCGGCCGCGGTGACGCAGGCAGACAGGGAAGGCGCGGGCGGGCAAGAGAGAGAGCGAGGGAAGGAGGAAGGAAGCAGGCGCCGCCACAGCAGGCTGGGCAGGGCCGGGCGGGGAGCGCGGAGCACGGTACCTCTGTGATGAAGACTGCGGTTCCCTGGTCCTCCAGTGGAGAGACGGATCTGTGTAGGCCGCCGGCCGAGGTCCCCTCGCTCGCGTCTCTGGGCCTCCGCCGCCGGCTTGTGATCCCACCGCGCGCACTCCCAGCAACTCCCGCAGCCGCTCCGCCGGCTCCTCCCCGCCCCTTCCCCTCCCCCAGTTTCGCGCTCACCTCCCCGCCCCCCTCTGCTGACGCGGCGCCAGGCCCGGAATGATAGATTCGACTCAGTCAAAATTAAAAACTTGTGTACTGAAAAGAGAGAGAGAGAGAAACAAAGAGAGGAAGAAGCAAAGAGAGAAGAAAAGAGAAAAGAGAGAGAAGGAGGGAGGGATAGAGGAAAGGGAGCCAGCTTCTGTAAAGGACATTAAAAGACCAAGGGAGAATATACATATATTTGCAGTCCATAAGGCAGTGAAAGGATGAAAGCCTGGATCGAACCAACCCTATGTAAAACATGAAAAATAAAGAATTCTGACAAAGCAAAAAGGAAAAGATTAACATTCCCGATGCAGGACGGGGAGAAGACTGGGAGGAGCGTGCATGTTACAAAAGAAGTGCAAATGGCCACTGGGCATATAAAAGGATGATTAAGCTCACTAGTAATCAAAGAAATTCAAATTAAAACAATGAGATTTTACTTCTGCCTTATCATATTGGCAAGAATATGGCAAAGATGAAAAATAATGGTAAACATTATCTTCAACAGAGAGCAGAAAAAATGTATTCTCATGCCAATTGAAGTGCAAGTTGTTATAAGGCAATTTGAAAATATATACCAACATTTTAAATATTTCCACTTTTGTTTAGAAATGCCTCATTTAGAGACCTCGTCTATGAAAATAGTTGGATAAGGATGCAAAAATATATATATAATGTATATACACTGCAACAATTAAAAACATTATTTTAAAAGATAATCAATTTCTGTTTACACAGAATTAGTGAAATATGATGTTAACATACAATAAGATAATACGCAGTATGATTAAAAAATGCGAGGTTAATTTATATGATATCAAGTTCCTTTAAAGGTATACATGACATAAACAGTAGTTATAGGGAAATCACAGAATATTTTCACTTTCAGCTTTATATATTTCTGCATAGTTATAAATTATACAAGCCTGTATGTTTCAATACCAAAAAATACAACAAATATATTTTTATTTTGAAACTATTTTTTAAACAGTTTGTATATATAAACTGTCTTTGAGTGCATGTGTAAAAAGAAATCTGGAATGCTATACACCAGTATGTTAATGGTGGTTATCACTTATTGCTGAAATTATGAATAACTAGTCCTTTCTTATTTTTAATAAAATTTTAAATTTTCTGATGGCTTTTATAAGTATGCACTGCATTTATAACTTTTAAAAGATCACAAGGTATTTTGGGGGGAGGTTCTAGGTAGAAATTGACAGGCACACAATAGTAGTGGCAGACATTAACATATTTACCTAATTTAGTTACAGATTAAGTAGGAGAAATAAAGATGTAGCACGTGAATAATAGAACAAATAATTTCAAATTTATGTATAAATTTCTAACTCTGGTTTATACCATACAGAAAATACTTTTTCTCCTTAGTATCCAGCCAGCATTTAACAGCATTTGCAAGTCCTTAGGCCATAAATACATTAATAAGTCTCAAGATAAGAAAAAAAATACTGGTATGTGATGTCTATCAATAGATGAATGGATTAATATAGTATGATTAATATGATTAATAGAATACAGAAGATAAAGGAATGAACTAGATCTAAATATATTATGTATAGATCCCAAAAATCTAATTAATTAGCACAACACTCTCGTATTTATAGATGCATTCATATGTATGTGAAGCTATTGGAAATATACTAGAACGATTCATGCTAAACTTGCACCCATGAAGAAGAGAAAATGGAATAGGACATATGATAGTGATTAAAAGGAAATTGGATTAAATCTGTAAAAATGTATTTCATCTTTAAAACGGAAGCAAATATAGCAAAATAGCAATAGTTAATTCTAGGTAGTAGAGATATGTGTATTTGTTATAATACTGTTGTATATTTTTTATTTTTCTTAAAAAAAGGAATTTATATAAAACTTTAGAAAATGCAAACTAATCTGTTATGAGTAAAAGCAGATCAGTGGTTGCATTGGGAGGAAGGGTCCAGGGAGCCAGAAAGAGGGGTCGCAAAGGGGCATGAAGAAACTTTTGGGAGTGATGGATATGTTCACTGTCTTGAATGTGGTGATGGTTTCATGTGCATGTACATATGTCAAGGCTTGTCCATTGTACACTTTAATATATGTAGTGTATTATATCATTTATGCCTCAATAAAACTGTTTAAAAAATTAAAAAAAAAATTAAGAAAATATCACATCATCTTCTTTGATCTCAATAGAACAAAACTAGATATTAATAATGAAAGTGTAAACGAAAAACTCAACCACTTGAAAATTAAAACAGAATTAAATAGTTTTGGGACAAAGTGTAAATCAAAGTTCTTATTAGAGTGAATTTAGAAAAATAATGATAATGAGAACATATACATCAAAAATTATGACAAGATTTCCCTACATGTGGTTTGAGGATCTTGTTATAAATACAGATTTCTAGGGCCCACTCCAAACCTACCAAAATAAGCGGTGCTGAAGAATCTACATTCTTATCAAGCTCCAGTTTAATGATACTTGATTTACCAAATACTATGTGAATGAACTGAGAGTCAAATTTATACACTCAAAGACCTTAAATACCAAATAACAAAAGGTGAAAATAAATGAATTAGGCATTCAAATAAAGAAGACAACAGAAAAGAAGGAAGCCGGGTGCAGCCTACAAAATAATAAAAGCAAAAATTAGTGAATCAACAGAGAGAAAAAATAAGATTTGTTACATAAATCTAAGTTCTTTGAAGAAGCAAGTCAAATAGATGTCCCATTATTAGTTTGGTGATTCTCTTACAACCCTCACCAAAGAACACAGCACAGGGGCAAAAGCACACTCACCCTTTTCTAGAAGTCTCCCAAAAGCATATTTCTTTTTTTCCTACTTTACATTCTTTATTAGAGAGCAGAATTAAGAATAAATAGCAATCATCCTGGAGTCCCTCCGTAGAAGGGTAATTTCTGAGAAACTGAAAGACTTTGTCAAAGAGGGTCTCTGTATGGGGGAGACCAAAGTTTGGGCTCAGTAGACAATATTAGAGATTTAGTGTTATCTTGGCCTTTGTTGTTTTCTCCCCCACACCCAGATTTATTGAGATATAATTGACATACAACATTGTGTAAGTTTAAGGTGTACAACTCATTGATTTGACACACATACTCTGAAAAATGTTTACCACGGGGGCATTAACTAATAACTGCATCATTCACATAATTACCTTTTCTTTTTTGTAGTGAGAACATTTAAGATCTACTCTCTTAGCAAGTTTCAAGTATATAATACAGTATTATTAACTATAATCACCATGCTGTACATTAGATACCCGGAACTTATTCATCTTGTTAACTAGAAGTTTGTACCCTTTGACCAACATCTCCCTATCAAGACTTAATCTCCTTAAGGATAGAATGTTAAGGGGATATTGTAGGCATTTAAAATGCTCTGAGATGACACAATTATATAAACATACAAATAATTACATAAAGCAGAGGTTAAGATTCCAGGACTGCTCTATGAAGTCTATTTAATTTACAACATGGTTAAAAGCTGAAGTTAGCTACATTATAGTCAAATGAGGGTGTGTCACCATTGAAAACATTGTATGTAAAGACTGATTCCAAGATGCAAATCAGAATACCAACAGAAATACACCTGGTAGCAGTGGGAGGGGACACTTCCTCCACATGTATTTACAAGTGGATTCCCAAGACTCCTGTGTCAGTGGAGAAAATCATAAAAAAGAAAGAAGATACTTGGGAATCTCCAATGGCAACAGAGAAATAAAAGGAGTTAAACTGTACTTGAATTGTAAAACAAATCTCTTTCTAAGGTGACTGCTTTCATTGGCAAATCTCTGTATTAGATAAGTAAGACAACTGGTTTTTACTTTTATATGTCCTGAAATCCTCAGATTGGCATCTACAGATGGCATCTGTTGGTGAACTGTGATGTTGTAGTCCAAACCATCAGACATTGAAAATACCTAAGTACAAATCAAAGGAGAATGCAATGTTTACAGGAAAAGTCTTGTGGTCTGTAGATGGTGGAGGGTAAAACAAAGATACTAAAGTTAGGAAAATTCAGATTTTTGCAAAGGTAATATCCATTGTTAATGGTAAAAATCAGTTGTGACAGTAGATACAGAAGTGATAGCAGTATTATCTAAGGCAAATCTTCAAACTTGCGTTTGTCTACACAAATTCTTTTCAAACAGTAGGAGGATAAAAATAGTTTAAAGGGACTCAATTTCTAGATACCTGATTTCCATATATCTTCTTTCTTAAAATTGATCTGCCAGAAAATATCCCTAAGGTCAAGGCATCCCCTTTTGCAATTGACCTTTTCCCACTTTACAAAATAAAGGCATACTTCTGTCACACATTCAAGATTTTTCTATGTTTCATTGCCTCTGGGTGTAAAAACCTTGAGTCAAAAAAGGAACAATTTGAAATATATATTGGTGTACATGTTGAGAAACTGAATGAGTCTAATGACTAGGTAATAAATCATTTTGCAAGTCTGTGATTTCCAATTCTTTGCCTTGGACAAAATTGAAGGAGGACATAATTGAATTTTCAGATGATAGATCATTAAAATAATTTTTGAAGATGGATCATTATGTGATTTTTGGCATATTATTTGCAAGGAACTCAAAGATAAAAGGAAATTACTATAACAAAGTCCTTCCATTTCTATCTGCTCGTTTACTTATTATATATTTTAGTGCTCATATTTATAAAAACACATAAAAGGAAAAGACTTGCTAGCAATGAGTAATATTCTTGTTTGGATAAATAAACTAATCAGAAAGCCCTCAAATGAATTTCCAATTAAATTTTACCTCTTTATATTTAATATTTATCAAAGTTGGTGATATATTTATATTATTTTGATCAATTGTGTACTAACAGTAATTGTAATGATAAGTTAATACAGAACAATTTCTTAACCCTTAAAATTAATTTTAGTTTATATAATTT